CCTTATTATGCGAGATGTTACTATGTGGACTGTATGTGCGGATTCTTACAACCAAAACAAGATGGCCGACGTGGCACGCGGCAGCCTTGGACGATACACTCGGTATTCCAAAATTCTATGGATGGTCGAGCAAGTAAATGAATTTATATATTTGAGATGTGTATTCAGCAGCGATGGGAGATATGATAAGGATATTGAACGACGAGTGAATGCGGGAAATAAAGTAAACGGGGCTCTACACTCTATTGTGAAAAGTCAGAATGTGTCAAAAAAGGCACGTATGGCAATTCACAATGCTGTATTAGTCCCTACTTTATCGTATGGTAGTGAAAGTTGGGTGTGGCGGAAGAAGCACGAGAGTAGAATAAATGCAGTAAAAATGCGGTCGCTAAGATGAATGCGGAGTATGTTAGGACTGAATCTGAGTGACAGGGTGAGAAACTGTGTGATAAAAGAAGAGTGTGGTTTGCAAGATGATACGATGACCAGGATTAAGAAAGGAATGCGTTGGTGGTTTGGTCATGTAGAAAGAATGAATGAGGAAAGACTGACAAAGCAAATATATGTTGCAGAAGTGAATGGAAGAGTCGGAAAGGGACGTCCTAGGCGAAAATTTGCCGACCAAATTGGCGATATATTAAAAATAGGCCAAATTAAGAGTACCCTTAACCGACGAGCATGTATGCGTATGTATATGGATGTGGAAGAGGCGAGAGAGGTATATCAGGATCGTGCTAAATGGTACTCTGTAGTCTCTGCTTACCCCTCTGGGTGACAGGTGTGAGTGTTTTTCACTTAACGGGGTGGGGTTCCATGCGAACTCGTGGACGACGCTCCTGGTCTTGTGGTGCGCTGGAAGAGCGGTGCGCGACGATAATTCGCACTATACGTGGCGGTTACTTCTCGATTGTTCTGTGCCGCGACCGCCACAGAGGTGCGGACATAACTAGCGGTTCTCTTCGACTACTATGCAAGAAGGATTGAGCGGCGGCAGTGCGTATCCATATATGGGCAGGCCACGTCTACCACTTCTATCTCGGCGGGGCGCGTTTTTATTGTATGAAAATCGCGTCATATTTTAGACCCCCCCTTTCAGTGCGTGAGGAATGGAATGCGTAGTGGGACGGAAAGAGACACTGGCAAACAATAACCAACCGAACAAAATGTGAGAGTACCCGATTCTTTTTCCGCGCAACTAAGTACAAGTATACAACAATACAGTTACCAGGTCCATTTGTGTACATTTTTTACAGGGTCCAACTTGCTTGATAAAACTTTAATGTTACATTTTTACATCTTTACTTAAGTATTTTTATGTATTTATTTCTACCAAACCGTAATAAGTACTGAAAAATAAAATAGTATGTATAGTAGGCGTATTATTAGGCTATACAAAACAGAAAAATAAAATAAAATCTGTCCTCATTTGCGGCTGCATCATCAAAAATACTGACGCAAAGGGTGATTATCTGGAAAATTTATAAATCACCCTTTATTTTTTAAACCACATCTGCAATCCCCTTTCGCTTAATCGTTACGTTCTGGGACACCTTTCATATATTGGGCTTATCACTTCTTTACACCAGTCTCCCGGTACACGCTTCAATTCCCAACATAAATTAAACAAGGTGTACAGCAGGACTGCTACCACGCCCTCTCCAGCCCTAACCATTTTGAGTGATATTCTATCATATCCGGCTGTCATACCTGCTTTCATGCTTTTCAGTGCTTTCATTATTTCATCTATACTTATCTCCCTACCTCCACTCTTCTTTCGAAATTTCTTTTTTATTTAAATTCATCGTCTCTTCTCTCATAAACACGCTTTAAAACTATTCCTTCTATCTCTTCAAACTCGAAACTTCGTCGTTCAGAAAAATAGCTGTACATTCTCTTATCGTATAACATTAGTTATAGGCTGTTTTGAATGTCCCCTGGCTTTTCTTACAAGTTTCCAGAACATTTTATTATTTACTTTGAAGTTATCCAATATTCTTCTATCATTCTTATCTCTTCTTTCGTGCTTTTTTCTTTCAATATCATCATTCATACCACCATAATCTCTCTCTTTGCTTCAACTTCCATTCGTACATCATCATGCCACCATAACATATTATTTTGCCTTTCATTTGTTCTCTTACCAAACCTTTCATAACATTATGCATTCTCCAAGTCTAAATCATTCATACACAACATCCCAACCACTTATATTTTCTCTCGGTCTACATTTGTATTTCTCTTTCACACCTTCATATTATAAGATTTCTGTTTTTATACGCTGTAACGTAATGGTAGACACAGATGTCCGATGCCGCCAACGTCTGAATAGACCATGTAATGATCCGTCCCTACAAAGGACCCCCGGTAAATCCTTTTATCTACCACTGCACTGCTCATTCTTTCATCCACAATAATGAAATCTATCATGCTTCTATCATAACCTCTTTTCCATGTATGCATGTGAATCTTCTTATGACCAAGGAAGGTTTTCGTCACAAAAATATTATTTTTCACACATACGGTGAGGAGGCTTTCACCATTCTCATTTATACTTTCATAACATCCTTTCATTACCTAACCTTTTCACCCCAAACCTTCCATTAAAAAATAAAGCTTGGCGTGCTCAGCAGAGCGGGACAGTATTTCATGCCATCACACCGCCTGCAACTTTACAAGGCGCAGGTTCGGCCGCACATGGAATACTGTTCCCATCTCTGGGCTGGGGCTCCCCAGTACCAGCTCCTTCCACTTGACCGCATCCAGCGCAGAGCGGCTCGAATCGTCGACGACCGAGTGCTTTCCGATCGGCTCGATTCACTGGCACTGCGAAGAGATGTTGCATCTCTTTGCATTTTCTTTCGCATATACCATAGAGAGTGGTCTGAGGAATTGTTCGGATTAATCCCAGCTGCCAAATTTCGTGAACACTACGCGGCAAACGTCCCGATACCATCCACACCATCTGGATGCTTGGCGGTCCACCACTGTACGTTTCAAAAAGAGTTTTCTTCCGCGTACAACCTCTCTGTGGAATAGTTTACCACCGGCGATTTTTCCGGACCGATACGATCTGGGGACCTTCAAGAAAAGATCTTACTCTTTTCTAAAGGGCTGGCAACGCACCTGCAATTCCCCTGGTGTTGCGGTTGATCATGGGCGGCGGTACATCAGGTGAGCCGTATGCTCGTTTGCCCCTTCTTCTGTAAAAAAAATATGCTAACATAATATTTTTATTTTTATTATATTTCATTAATACCATCTTTACTATCTCTCAAAACTGCTCTCGGATATCAATTGGCTTAGACATGCCTACAACTTCACTTAAAACTTTAGCTCACTTTCATTCGTATCCATAGCAGCCTCGGGCCTACATATTCGTACTCTTTTACACATTGACCCGTTCTTTCTGAAAGGATGATAATGACTCCCGGCATGCCCACTCGGTCTCGCCAACACTGGATCAGTACGCGGTATACATGTTACGTGCAATGGCATCCTTTTCCTTCCGTTTCGTCTCATTTACACATAACAGATTTATTCCTCTATCATACATCATTTCGCATACTTCAAATGAAACGGTTTGTTTTATTACACTAACTGTTTTATTGACCAACCAACTGGAATGGGCGGATATCATATCAGGACATAGAGAATATAACCACTAGAGAGCGTATAGGCAGATTTCTTCTAAGCATACGACTCACTACTGCGGGCCGGGGGACGAGGTCTTCCTCGTGGCTGCAAATGGTCAAGTTGCGTTGTTATGGCTATCTTTAGGGTTGCTCTTCTTAATAAAGGAAAATATTCGTTATCGATAAAATTTTTATCATTATGAAAAATACTCAATTAAAATCATAGAAATAATATTTAATCAAAATCAATCAGTTACAACGAAAACATTTATTTATTATATTATTATTGATTTTTAAAATGAATTAATTTGTTATATTTATTTCGAATTAAAGTTTAAGGGTCGTGATTGTTCTTTGTAAAAATTTAAACAAGCGTCTACATATTTGTAAATTATGCATCTTGCTAATTCAATTAAATGATTTATTTCATATATTATTGATTCTATTTCAAATTGATGAAAATCAATATACGGGAATCAATAATACCTAATCAGAGATTTTAAAAACCGTTCTCATAAAATAATTGGTACTATATTTCGAAGACCACTCCACCACTCTCACTGATTGCCCTCTTATTAAAAATTTTACAACGACGACAAATATATATTACTGTAGTGGATCCGTACAATAAATTGTTTTTAGTGTCCTTTTGAAATTGTAAGCCATTCTGATTTGGTACACCAATCTAACTAATTTAACTTAATACACTTTAACTAAGAAAAAATACCGACAAACTGAGAACCTCCTCTTTTTTCTGAAGACGGTTAAAAGTAGATAAGTATTTTTTCACAGTGTGTGAATTGAATAATCATTTTATTCGTTTTAATTTTATTATTTTCGATATCGACTTTCAGCTATTAAAGGTAACAGTAAGTCCTAATGTTTATGATAAACATACAAAGGGAAAGAAAGGGATAGAAGCATTGGAATTCTCTAATAATAGAACGAGACTTTTCCAAAAGACATCAACGCGCGACTTAACCATGTCGTTATTTAACCGGCGACCGTTTTAGATAGACCCCTACAATTGCTCATAATCTGAATTAATCAACAATAATTTTCGTATGTTTTACTTAGCAATGAAAAGTTACTTCATTATTTTTGGACATCTGTCCTGGAATGTTTCCCACACCACTTCAACGCGCATTTTGATGCATTATAATTGCATAAAAGTTATAAAAAATTGCATTAATTTAGCGTGCACACAGGTCTAACACTTGGACAATACTAAAATGGTTAATAGTACCATAGCCGATGCATAGGCGACAAAATACTAATAGTTTTCGAGCGTCGGGGCACTGTATGCGCAGTCAAGTGGTTATATAGTCTTTGTATCAGGATCAACAAAATAGCAATTAATTGTTACAGGTTTGGATTAGGAAGGTTTACAACTATGGAAGAGGTCGACTACACCGCCGAAAAAACAATCAAACATGTTGAGCGACTCCGAGAAATGAGCCCACTTTGGGAAATGGTACAAGAAGGGGTAGATATAAAAACGATAAAATGGTCACAGCACTAAAATATGTTTGTTTTTGCTGCATTGTAAATATGATTTTTAGATAATATTAATATCATGTATCCATCATGAATATTCCTTGTAGAAAGTTGAGTTTTTAAAGGTCTATCGGAAAATAACAATTTTATAGGGGTTTTAAACATTTATGATTTCCTTTTTTAAAACTATACTGGTAATTATACGCAATGGAAAATTTGTCTTTGCTTTATATAATGAAATACTTTTATTGATACACAAATTGCAAATGCTGTAGTTAGTGTGACCTTACAAGTTCAGAAGCTAAACCAGATATCACATTGCTTTAAATTAAGAAACCACGTAATAAATTGTTTAAGCACATTTTTGCATTTTACTTTATGCTCCGACTTAAAAATATATTTAATATTTTCTTAATTCAAAAACTTAGTATGAAATTGGTTTTTGAATGATTTACAAAATTTTTATTATATCTGTGCTCTTTCGATTTTGGCAAATATTTTAAGAATTTTGTCGATTTAGCATTTTGGTGCTAAAGTCCTCCAACGAACTTGAAGGTTTGCATTAAGATTAACCACATCTTTTAGTTGAATTGGGTTTTTTAAATTGTGTCCGCGACTTCGTTTACGTAGAATCCTTATTTTTCTATTTCGTTTAAAGCCGAAAAAAGTAATTTACTCGGTTCGTAATATTTATTATTATGGATGATGACACCTCAGAACAAAACCTGAATGCTAGATATTCAAGCTTGCTTTGAAGTTACCCAGATTGTTGGACTGAGATGGAAAGAGACGCCGGCAAATCAATCCACTCCTTAACGCATTATGACTGGACAACAGACAAGGACATAAGTAGTTTGAGGTAAGATTGTTCACTTAGAAGAGTCACGCTGCAGCTATATTCAGCCGCGGATCTTCGATTTTTTTGAACTGGGGCAAAAACTTGATAGTGGTGCATCCTCTCCAGTGTTTTAGATAGCTTGTTAAAAAAAAACTTACAAATACATAATAGGTGGCAATTTTTTGTGATTGGTACAGTAAGAACCCTTTAATAAATTTGAACTCCTTATTACCAATTAGCAAATAACTTTTTCATTTGTTTAACGTAAAGTTATATATAGAAAACATATAAACAGACAATCAAGATATTTAGGATCTTTAGGTCTCAGCATATTTTTCTGCGAAAGAGTCTATTAGCTCATCAAATTCTGTTTCAACGTCAGTTTTATTGTCAATGGCTAGGATCGCAAGGCCAGATAGACGTTCCTGACTCATTGTTGAACGCAGATAGGTTTTAATTATTTGCAGTTTGCTGAAGGTTCGCTCAGGGCCAAGGGCCAGCAGCTAGCCGACTTTATGGAGAAAGAGGGACTCTTTATGATGAACTCTTTCTTCCAGAAGCGGCCCCACAGGAAGTGGACCTGGTCGAGCCCCGACGGTTCGACAAAAAATGAGATTGACTTCATTATGACGACCAGACGCCAACTGTTCAGTGATGTCTCAGTGATCGCAAGGGTGAAAACTGGCAGCGATCACCGAATAGGTAGAGGCACACTGAACCTAGACGTTAATTTGGAGAGGTCTCGTCTAATGAAGTCAACGCTCCGTTCCCCTCGTGCTCTAATCCAGAAACCCGAAACCTTTCAGCCGAGTTACGTAACCGCTTTCAGTGCCTAGAAGATTGCAATGCAGTGGACGATATGAATGGCAAGCTCGTGGAAACTGTCCATGCAGACGGATCTAAGTTTTGCAAGACCCGCCGTAGAACAACACAAAAACTCTCCGATCACACTCTTAATCTCATGGCTGTTAGACGGGAGATGAGGCTGCAATCGTCAACAGATTTGACAGCATACAGGCAACTGAACTCAATGTCATCCAACCTACAGGTCCATACAAATTTTCTGCTCAATCGGACAGTGAAAAGTAGGTTAAATTTAACTTGCAAGATTCTATTACAGACACAGACAGACCGACAATGGGACAGGTGAAGCTAAATAAAAGCTTGTAAAAATGTAGTCATTACCTATTTCCCTAATTCGAAAGGTACATTTTTTTCTTGTCCCTGTACTTCACGGAACTTATAATCTATACTAATATTATAAAGAGGAAAGATTTGTATGTTCGTAACGTATAAAGTACAGAATTTATAATCTATAGGAACTAATAGTATAAATAGGAAAGAATTTAGAAGTAAGCAATGCTCTCTGTGTACCAAGCTAGCGCACGTGGTGTTCGATAGATGGCGCGCAGTTCGCCACGAAACAAGCAAGGTCAATCGCTTCTTGTCTAAGGGCTATATTTCACCGGGACACCATGGCGGCGCAACAATCGCCGCTACCAACAAAATGTATACAGCTCTTGAATTACTGACCTGGTGACAGTTTGGTTGCGCAACCGATTTGGCAGCTCGGACGCGTGCACAGCTGCACAGAATATTACTGGTCGGTCGCGCCACCACTAATTAGTAATTACTATAGCGTTAGCGCTGTATGGTATTTCACTCACTCGGCCGCCAGTAACGCCCCCACCATAGATTACTGAATATGAATATATACTAGGCCCCCACTAGGCTGCACTAAAAGTATCGGGAATGGAATATTTCCACTGTTCTGTCATATTAAAATCTTTTTAATTGAAAACTCCTTGGTTTTAAAAATCGCATACCATTTATTTATTTAAAAAAAAGATTCTCGGTCTTGTCACAAGGTTTTGTCAAACTTGTTTAGTCGTTGAGAAAATGGAATTGACTCGAGAAAATTCAAGAGCGATGATTTATTATGACTTTCGAAGTGGTTTAACACAAAAACAGTGTGTTGACCGGATGATTTCTGCATTTGGTGATGAATCCCCATCCAAAACCACAATTTATCGCTGGTTTGCTGAATTTCAACGTGGACGTGTCGTCCAAAAACTGCAGTCACCCAAGAAAACGTTGATGCTGTGCGTAAGCTGATTGAGGAAGATCGACATGTGACATACCGCGAAATTCAGGCAAATTTAGACATTGAGCATGAGTCAAATACAAATAATCTTGCATGAAAAATTAGGTGTAAAAAAGTTGTTTTCCCGATGGATACCGCATTCGCTCTGTGAAGAGCAAAAAGCGGCTCGCGTTACTTGGTGCGTCAAAACTCTCGAAAGATTTCACGCAGGATCCTTAAATGCTGTATACAACATCGTATCAGGTGACGAATCCTGGATATACGCGTACGAACCCAAAACAAAAAACCAGTCACTAGTTTGGGTGTTCGAAAATGAGTTAAAGCCAACAAAAATTGTTCGTTCACGGAGTGTTGCAAAAAAAAATGGTGGCCACGTTTGTCTCCAAAACCGGCCATGTTACGACTATTCTTCTTGAGGGACAAAGAACGGTTAATGCAGAATGGTATGCTAGCATTTGTTTGCCACAGGTCGTTTCTGAACTCCGTAAAAAGAACTGCAACCGCCGCATCATCCTCCATCACGACAATGCGAGTTCTCACACCGCACACAGAGCAAAGGAGTTTTTAGAGCAAGAAAACATAGAATTATTAGATCATCCGCCGTACAGCCCCGACCTAAGCCCTAATGATTTCTATACTTTCCCTAAAATAAAGAATAAATTGCGTGGACAGAGATTTTCATCACATGAAGAAGCTGTGGACGCCTACAAAACGGCCATTTTGGAGATCCCAACTTCCGAATAGAATGGTTGCTTCAATGATTGGTTCCATCGTATGGACAAATGTGTCAAATTTCGCGGAGAATACTTCGAAAAGCAATAAATACATTTTTAAATAGTAATTTTGTGTCACTTCCTTGATTCCCGAAATTTTCAATGCCGCCCTCGTATCCACTATCGCTTATCATCCTTTGGGTGTCTTAAGAGGCGACAGAGGGAAACAAATCAGGAGATGGGCAGCAGCAGCGTTTTCTTAATAAGGATAAAAATAATAAATTGCGATTGCCAGCCCCCTTGCCAAGCGTAGCAACTATGGCAAATATCCCCCTATGAGGCAATCTACTGGGGAGGTCTATGTTCAGCAGTGGACTTAACGGTAATACAACTGTACAGGGCAGCAGAACAACAAAGCACTATACTTATTTGCAGTGGAAGTGATAAGTGGAACTACACTAGCCATCAAAAAAATCGGCACACCTGCGTTTTTGCCGCAAATCACGTGTTTCTAAAGCAGAACCAATTAAAACGTTTAAGTACTGAAATGTTTTATTTAACTTGTTTATTTACACCAATTTAATCACAGTTACAACATCAAAATGATTTTTTTGAAAGTAATTTTCATTTTAAACCAAAATCTTAAATTTTTCACGATTATTTTTATTAATTTTCAATACGCTCTAGTTTTTATGTATTGAATTTTATGCACACAATTGTTTTAATATTGCGTATTCCCTCCTCTTACTCGAATGGCAGCCTGCATTCACCGTTTTAATGACCTTATCAAGATTTTGATGGTCTCTTGAGGGATTCGGTTCCATTCTTCCCTAATGGCGGTTTCAAGGTCTTCTAATGTTGTAGGGACTGGATTACGGGCTCTAACCTTTTGTTTTAGGGTGTCCCACATGTGCTCTATAGGGTTGAGATCAGGGCTTCTTGCTGGCCACGACATAACCCGAATGCCGACCTCTTCAAGGTAATCGGTTGTGATGCGCGCTACGTGTGGTCGTGCATTATCATGCATTAATTCAAAGGTCTCTCCAATATAGCCCGCGTATGGCACCACATGGTCTTCTAAGATCTCTGTGATGTAGCGTGCTGCAGTTAAAGCACCTCTTTGTATGAAAACCAGCTCTGCGTCCAGTCAAAGATATCCCAGCCCAAAACATTACAGAGCCTCCACCATAACTGATAGTTTCTCTTATGCAACACTGGGTATAACGTTCACCTGGTCGTCGCATGACATTACGGCGTCCGTCAGAACCGTATAAAGTCATTCGACTCTCATCACTAAAAAGAACTGACTCCCATTGGCCTATAGTCCAGTTGATGTGGTTACGCGCAAATTGAAGTCTGGCTTGTCGATG